GAAAGGTGAAATTAATTGAAATGTAAATTACAAATATTGAAAAGGTAAATAATTGGAATATAAATTGCAAATATTGAAAGGTAAATAATTGGAATATAAATTACAAATATTCTATTAAATTAGTAAAATACTGAATTATAAAATGACAAATGTTAATGAAATGTAATGAATGAATTTTTAAACAACAATTTTCCGCCTCGTTGAATTTCCCAGATATGATCATTTAAAGTTTAATTTATCGTTCAATCTTTACATTCAGAAAGGAAAAAAGGAAGAATTGGCGGAAAATTGTTTTTTTTGATTTCTTTTTGGATGGCACTTTGAATAATTTCCCTTCCAAATAATTTGAAAAATAATAAAGTAAAAGTGACTCACTTTTTCATCCAATGCTTTGTGGTGTTCAAACAGTGATTTAAGTGCTTTCAAAACTTCTACTTCGCTACTTACACCAGCTGCTGGACTTTGAGCCTGTCGCTTCATTACCGTCATTCGCAAAGATCGCTCATGTCGCGAAACCTATAAGTAAGACCACATAAAAATTGTAGAATGTTTAAATTTATTTAAAAATACTTTCCTACAACGTTCACGGCTTAAACCTTGGAAGAAATATGTCAACGAAAGATAGTATCAACCATAAAATTACAAGATTTGATTTTTCGTATACCTAGCAATCACAGTGACTTCAACTAAAAAGTGTATTCCGTGAACTAACAAAAACATCTAGTGTAAAAACAAGTACAGACAAAACTGCATCTACCAAGCATTCCAAATGTTCTAAGAGTAATCGGGTATTGTTCCGCTCTGCTTTCAGCTCTACAATTTCTTCATCTTTTTCTAATAACTGCTCACGCAACTGAGCCAGTTCCTTGGTTAGTGACTGCAATTCCTGTAAGTAAAAAGCAATTGTCTGCGGTGCTACTAATCATAACTTGACAGAAGGCTGAAATGAACGGCCTGACAGTTAATAGCATAAGCTTCTTTGGAAAAGCCAATTACATGGCCACATTTTGTACACATTTAAATCGCACCAAACATATTCTCAATAATTCATAGAGGCATACTGCATATTTTGATAACGCTTCTACTATATTACAAATGTCTAACCTAATAGATCATAAATTTTAGGATTAAAAACTAACTCCAGGCATATGCTGAGTTTGCAAATCGAATTGTCTACGCAGGCTTTCCTTATCACGTTCGGTATCTTTGACATGCTGTTGCAGGTCGTCGATACGTCGCTGAGCGTCCTAATGAACAAAAGACACATTAAAACAATAATTTCTGGTCTTGACAACTTCTATTGAAAGTTTTTTCCGAAACTGTAAGATGGAAAATTTTGATGTGAAAGTGGTTACTTGCAACTGTTCAAGTAATTTATCGCGTTCATCAAGCATATTCACCATCAACTGCTCTATACGATTCTGATCACCAGTCGCGCCCGATAAATCGCCCGATTCTGTGCTAGATCCCTGCAAAACAATGAAGACATACTAACAAATTTATTTCCTTTTAATATCAAACGATGGAAGCCAGGAATCTTACTAAACCTGTGGAGGATCAACACCGTCTTCAGAAATAGTTGGCATTACATCGCACATCATCGTGCCATTCCAACTCATTTTGTTTTTTTCTTATTTATGCCTGCAATGATTTCTATCAAACCGTTTAAATATAAAAATATATGGTTGTAAAGATGTGTATAAAGGAAAGATAGAAAATTCCTCGCGTGTAGATTTAAATTTACCTTCTTCTTTCAAATAACAACGATATTTGTCGCCATAAAATGAGAACTACAAATGTATTCATTGAAGCCGCATATGAAGACATTCATCTTCCTACCATGAATATTAAGTTAAGGCCTCTGACGTATTATAGAAGGATAGTAGCAACGAAATTGGTAATTTAGTACTGAAATCGGTAGTGATGAAGATAATTATGACGATGTTGATAATTCTAGTAGTAATTTGTCGACCAACTAAAAAACAGAAGTCCTATATAATATTGAGAAAAACAGTATCACTGATCCTATAAAACTTTTCAAGTGACGTGTGCTTTTTACGCAACGCAAAATCTTTGCATATAAGTACAAATCAAATAACGCAAAGGCAAATGTAAATATTGCGAGCAATTGCAATATTGGTTGCCAACACTCCGAATTAGAATAGAGCTTCAGGGATTGAAATTATGCAAAAATTACCTGAATAATTAAGTGATACCGTCAAAGCTCGAGTTCCCAATCCCATGAATAGAGCCACTATTAGAATAAACATGGAAAAAAACAATGAATAAATCACCAGGCTATTCCCACCTCAGAGATTTTTACGGAAAGAAAACGATAGCATCCATGTCTATATTTAACGAACAGACCTTTTCCTTGCTTTACCATTGCTAATGACTATAGCATTTGATTAACGATAAAGCGAATTCTCTCCATCCATTTCTGACAGCAGTGATGAGCAAATAGATATAAAAGAAGAGGAAAAGGAAAGCACTAATTATCGGAGGCAAAAACGAAGGTAAACAGGATATGATTTACTCTCTCCTATTTCTATTAATCTAATTAAAGAAATCAGAAGTGTACCAATGCTGAACAGCTGTTTCCGCGAGATTAAGAACAATAGGGGTGTTTCCGCTGACCCTTAGAGATATTAAACATCTGTGTGATTAGGATTCGTTCTAATGTTCTTGTCATACATACACCACAATAAGAACCCAACTTGAACAGAAATAAAATGAGCTGGTCACAAATGATACAAAAATAAATAAGGAAGAAAACAAGCCAAGAATCATAAGAAAAACGTGAGCAAGACCAATATTAATAAATATTGGTACCAATCATATACTTTACTAACAGAGAAAACATTGTTTGAATCTCCCAAATTTTTGAGCAGTAAATGAAGATTCGCTATCACTGGGCCGTCCCCAGCATCCATATACTGAGTCTGGACAGCCTTCCTAATATATCACACAACAAAATATTGATCCTAAAAACCAAAAGCATCTTCTTAAGCACGAGCACCCACTATTTTGAAATTATTCAATAATTTTATTGCAGTTCTGCATAGTATCAGTGATATCTCCAGGAACTTCTATTCTGCACCTTTTCATGAAGTAATCAATAGTCAATAAAAGTGTGCAATATGGAATCGTAAAAATCGCAGCTATACTGACCCCGTACCGCATGCCATCATATCGATTTTTTGGATAACACTGTAGAACATGGTGTTTCGTCATTAGAAAGCATTTAGCTTCAACTATTTGAATTCAAGGATTATACATTTCCTTCAGAAAAATAGTACCGTAAATATTGAAAAATATAGATTTGCAGATGCTAACTTTTTCAGATATGTTTCAAAGATAGTTTATGAAACTGATGACAAATAAACATGATAATATGCAAATGAACGGAGTAAGAGGCATGTTACACCTGGATTTGTATGCCACTACCATATCCTTCTGACAACACATCTCTAGCGTAAATTTCAACAAATCCAAAAAATCGATAAAACATTAATACCAGTCCAAAAATTAACGCTGACATGCAAACACCTATGCATCAAGCAACAATGACAGGCATAATCAACTAACACTGCGCAATATAATGCTAAGGAATAACTTTTGCACTCACGAACTCATCAAGTAGTAAAAGTAATGGCCAATGAAACCAGCCATAACTATTATGCAAGGAAAGGAGCCAAGATATTCAGAAAAAAAAATCATTACGTTATGCAAATAAATAATCTTACTCCTTCAACATCTCCCAAGTCATTTGTGTATTACAACTTTTACAGTAGAAACTAAGACTTAGGTAAAGGAATGGTGCATAAAATAAATATTTTATCGGAAAAGTGTGTGACAAATACGGACGTCATAGACATGCACACACATACATGTGTGGTTAAATGACGGGTGGCTGCTGATCCTGAAGCAGAAACGTTACCTACAGACACACTTTAATTTCTCAGCAATAAAATTAAACGAGTTTAACTTTATATTTATATTTTATATTTTATTTTTTCTTATATACTTTTTTATTTATATTTTATATTTTTTATATTTACTATTTGAAACGCTTATCTGCTGTCAGAGATAAAATTTATGTTCCAACATCTTGACCAATTTAATTCATGCCATAAGGATAATACTCTACCGCGACTGAAATATAATGAAGGATGTCAAGATATCGGGAACCAATTCGTAAGAATAAGAATAGTAAATTGTGAAAAGTATAAATTCGGATAAATATGTAAATTTGAACTAATGTGCAAACAGTGCAAACAGATAGTTCTTATCAGCAGTGATTACAGGCGTGCTGTTTAGCTTTCTATGTGCCAAAAATGACTACTTAGTTGAGGACATAAGTAGTTAGTCAACATTCTGAACAACTATAAATAATTTAATGTCAACAAAAAAAAATCTTTCAACGAAAAAGATTCAGAAAACATGGACTATTTATGGTAGAGGGCGTTCTCGTTAGTTTTACTGAGGCGCGCTTACTATTGGCTTAACGCTCTAATATCAAGTCTTCGAACTAGAAAAATATACAAATTCGATACCACTAATCAGCCAAAAACGGACGAAACCACAGAACGACCTGTGTAAAAGTTAACTCCTACGCTGCAAGGTTCAATAATCCTGCAGCGCAAGCTGACTCGCCACAGCTAGGAGTCGATTCGCTACCGATCACACATATGGTGGGCGATGTATCGATGAGCGAAAGGCACTATGATGTGTATTCGAACTGACTGATGAAGCTATCCATGTGCAACCTGACCGTAAACACTACGTGAGCAATTGTCCAATTGTCCAGTGCTACTATTTATCTTCGTTAAAGTTAAGCGTAAAGGGATGCTAAGTGGTCCAGTGTGACGACGTCGTGATGTAGTACGATAACAGAGTATGCTGGATTGGATGATTGCTAGAATTGAATACTAGAATCGATCTTAACATTTCTCTGAATTACATATTTGCTCCGCTATCAGGTATTACGCGACTGTCATTGATGTTGCGTTACTGATTATCGTGCATGTGGCGGTTCTTGGGAAATCAGTGCTTGTAGCTCATTTCTTTCGTGTGGGAAGAATGCATGCTTAGGGAACATACAGGCATGAAACTTCTCGAACAAGACTAACAGAGCTATCTGTTGAACTATTTGAAATTGTCGATCCATTAATAAAGTTGTTACTAACTCACTGGGTTCACACTGCCACCAACATTCATTGCTGTCTACCAATTTGTTGTGTGAAATGTCGAATATCCATATCAGGTATCCGATATTTCAAGCAAACACAAATAGGGCACTCGATATTTCAAACAAAGTGACAGACACCAGCGAATGTTGTGGCAGTGTGAATTCATTGAGTTAATAAGCAAGCTTTTCTGTTAAGCCACTCGTGTTCTTCCTCTACAGTCTTGCCTTTATTTCTTAACACGCTTATCTTCCCTTCTTTGTTCTGATAAAAATGGTCATCAAAATTTTGTAGCAAACAATATTTTCTCTTTGTGTTGTGAGGAAACATTATGTAATTGATCATTAAATGGTAATGGTGTGGTTTTTTTCAGAGAAATCCAATTCAAGACGGCTACCACTAGACCTTTCTTTTCTCGTTTGGTTCTGGATGTCTGAGGTATCCTCAGTGTTACTTGTCTGTAATGAATAAAAAGTTACGGTGCTTAACTTCAAAACTTCATTAAACCAATAGAAGCGAAAACAATTTCGTGATACAAAACACACGAGAACATTTCCTACTGAGTTCCCATGCTTGTATTCCTTACTATTCGCACCATCATGTCTACTTGAACCTGTAGTCTGTAAATTCTGAACCGGACCCACAACTATTTTCCTTTTACAAGCATGCAAAAATAACACTGCAGCAATTCATTAACTTATCCTAATTACTTATCAAACAAGAATATGTAAATCGAGTTTCCAGTAAAAAGCTTTTGTAAAATAAAACTATTCGATGTTATAAGGAAATTTTTTTCCGACTAGTAACGCTTTGTACTGTCAAAACAAGCAGTGCAAACAATTTAGTTTTCTTGTATTCCGTTCACTGATGTTCGAATTTATGCTGCATTAATACTGAGTTGCTTCTTGCCAAAAGTCCGGGTTCTGTACATCTAACCCGTGTTAGAACAATTATGTATTGTATTACAGCAGCATAAAAAGCATATCATATTTTGCGAATCTTTTATTAATAATTCTTTATACGCTAACTTGGTTAATACAAAAAATTACAACTGAGAACTAAGAAATAATTTCCGGAAGCAACGAGACATATAGTCCCTCAGAAAAGGACAGGAAACACCTTTTAAAACTTTCGATACTTGAGAAACTGACTCCTGAGGATTGATTCGTTGTAAAGAAAAGATATTTGCCAACGTATATAATTGTCGTCACAATCCCTTATTGAAAAAAACACGCTGTGTTGTAGGCATATTTATGCCCATGTGATATTTCAGCTCCGCATAAGTTTCTGGCTCGTACTGCATCAGTGTTGTAGCTTTGATACTGCTAAAAAAAAGAAGGATTTGGAAATGCTCAGATTCAGAATTTTAATTACACCCTGGTTGTCTTCTAGCCTCTCCGGCATCTCTCCTTTTTCTTTCTCCTCCTATATTCTCTTCATCGATCTAACTTTTTCATATCTCGAAACAGTTTATATTTTGGTTCACATATTAGAAAATTTTCGTGTAATTCAGAAAAACAAAACAAGCATACTTAATTTGCGGAAAAAGAGCACAGCCGACTGGTATCATTGATCCATATCTGCAAAAACTGGTGACTCAAATTTTTGGATATTACGACTGAGTATGTGTTGGGAATTTGAAGCCTTTTCCCGAATGAAAATCATTATCTCGCATTGTACTTTTTTCAATTTAGCATCCATTCTGATATATACTGGAGAACTCAAAATCCACAGCTTCTTTAAAATTTTTATCTGGCAACTATGTTTATAGAGTGCGCGATCGTCCGAGTGAAACATCGCGAATTCAACACGTACTTGGTCAATCGCTATTATTACCTGTTGTGATGTGGTATTAACAAAATTCGGTCGTTGCTATTAAACGCTTGTGAAATGGAATGGAGTTGACCAAACTACAAAAGTAAATACTTACAGGACGAAAGTAAGTACAAGCTGCACCGGTATGTTTAAGAATTTGGCGCGATTGGTATACCAGTTGCATTTCTCCATAGTGTTCATAATCAAGGGTATTAGCACTGCAATAATAAGTCCAAAAATCAGACTGCATCACTCCCACATTCCCATTAATGCATTATAATAAGTGGTTCATTAATATCACTCAGCGTCTCTCTTTAGCTAGAACAAAAATTAAACTAATGGTACATTGCAGACGGCTTAAAATTTATTTGGGACAGAACTAACACATGCTTGGAGCCACAATAACATTACGCGAAAACACTACCAAACTGATTGCTTTGCATGCTGCCAGCTGTAAATAAACGAGTATAGATTTCATCGAATTAAAATATCAGAAATGAATAAAAAAGAAGTACCTTTGATCTCGCTACTACTTGTCCCATTTCATTCGTCACCGGAAGGCCACTGAGAAGCTCACTGTAAATTCAAAATGAAAAAGTTGAAATTCATAGAAAGGAGTGTTTTTGAGTTCAAAATATCATTGTTTTCTATAAACAAGTAAAAATGAGAAATCAAAAATATGATACTTTTGTCGTGTGAAAGGGATATTGATGGCGTTTGCAACTGCTACAGCAGCCAAAGGCACGAAACGCTGGGAAAGTGGTGAAAATGCACGCTAAAAAAGCCCTATTATCAGTAGTAGGCGTTACGAAACTATTTAATGAACATTTTAAAAAACTGCCCAAATACTGAAAAAGCTCTACTATCTTTGGAAGCTTCAGCAGAGACATATACATATATTCAAGCTTCTGACCTTCTATCACATAAGGCCTTAAATTTCTGCAAATGTGAAATAAGCAAAAAGTCCTCAACTGAGTTAGAGGAATAGCTATGTAAAAGTAAGTAACCTTTACTAAATAATTCTTCAAGCCTACAGCAACACCAAGTGCACCAGCAACCGCTGAGGTGTAAGCAACCAATAAATCCCTGCAAATCAATGTCAAAGACATCAAAAGTTGAGTTATAATATTATTAGATATCATATTAACAATCATGAGAGTACAGATATCTATGTACGACCCTTAGCTTGATATTCCAATTAAAATATTGAAAAAATAAGAAAAGGAAAGGTAACGATACGTTCACAGTGCGGGCCTAATGAACCTGGAAAATTTATGGCCAAATCCAGAAAACTAACCTTTTCGACAGAGGACTTTGCGCATTCCGATTGGTATAATTGACAAGTGCATTGAAGGACTGATTAGCCCACTGCCAGAAAATTACGGCTCTCGTACTCCTAAACAAAGGTTATAGTTGTGGTTCTGGAGACATGAATCGAAAACGACTTCTAGTCAAATCTATGGATTTACACTCATCCAGCTTCCTTGACTACTTCCAACTTCCTTTCTGTCTCTGAAAATCTACTTGATGATCCTATGGGCATACAAGCTGCATCCCACTCAAGAATATTCCGTCAGTGAAACCCAACCAATCCTCTACTATCCTACCAAAACATGCGTGCACTGACTTGTACCACAGCATCATTGCTCCGCAAAGGAATGTACCACCCCAAGCATTGGCACACATACGTCCCGGTAATGTTTGCAGCTGGCCAGTGTCCGGATGAAAGGCTGAACCATAAAAGGCTTGAGCGCGTTGCAAATCTTTCACAGTGGTACCATATGGTTCTTTGCCAGCTCTATCAAAAAAGATTCTGTAGGATCGAAACAGATTAATTTATGATTTAAAAATCCTTATCAACTGTTTACCACAAGCAAAAAATTAGCGAGTGATTAATTCCCACATATAACCGTTTACACATTAAAATTAAACACACAAAGTACAAAGTTATTTAAAAGGTCTTTTCATCCATTAATGAAATATTAGCATTGTATAATTTGTCGCTCATCTGAATAAAGACTTGTCATTTGACCATCAAACATCTTTGAGAAAATTGTCAAGATCTGGTTTAATGTTAGAAATTTCAAACTTGTATAAATCCAGCAGTCGTTTGCTATCTTGAAGTGTTTCCTGGCTAGCAAATGCTTTCAGCGGATCAGTGATCGTTATAAAATAACGCAAACGACCCAAAAATTTACTTTGATCCCACCTAAAACATGTTCAAGTAAAGAGCTGAGCCAAGTTTCAGTTGTAAAACGAATTCAGTTTCGCACTGTCTACGGTGCGAAACTGAATTCGAAAAGCGCAGAAAACTACGTGAGGTTCTGAAATTACTCGCTTTCAATATCTCTATTACAGTAATATGAAACAATAAGATTCGCAGATTCCCTTCTGAAAAGTTCAAAAATTTGCACCACGTTACCCCCATAAGATAGTAAATTTAGAAATGACTTAAAAATTTGCATGTTCATATATACCTTGGACTATCAACATCGTACCGCTGCAATCCTAATTCAGCGGACATTCCAGTACGTCAATTGACTTTAGCCTTCATCTCATTATCGGTCAACAAATACTTCGCTAAAAGTTCGTTTTGGAAGGAGCTGTTTCACATAAAAACGAAAACTACAAGAATGATGAAACATAGAAATTATAAGTAGAATGGAAGTACCATAAGCTAGTAAATGGAAGTAAATAAGGTAAGATGAATAGTCCCAACACCACATATTACCGGTGCAAATTTGGAGACCCCAAAAAGCTAGCGGTAAATTTCAACAGCATATTACAGCATAATACTTTTATTTGAATAAAAATAATATCCACAACAAGAAAACAGAACATCAATACCAATGCAAGAAAATTCTTTAATTGTGGATTTCAGGCAAAAATCTACAATCAAGAAACATGACCCCACAAGAAATTTAGTTCCTAGAAAGTTTTATAAATCTCGGGGAGGACTGCCATTTGTTCGACTGATATTAAAAATGAGCTTTTTTTAAGATTTATATTTGAAAGCGAATGAGCCGCATGTTTTGAGCTGACAAGACTAATGTGACACTTACAAAAACTGCCTATTTCAATTTCCTTACAAACCTTGAAAGATTTTGCAATCAGAAATCGTTAAATATATAAGAAAACTTGCATACTCAAAATAACACTTTAACGGTATTGATTGAACCCATTAGCTTTTATAGAGTGGGCCAAAATAAATTGAAAAAAAATTTAAAATATCGTGTAAATGTAGAATTGAAAACACCAACCATGAAAGAAAAAACGGCAAAAAAAAACACCGGTGGTGTTACAAATTCAATTTTCACCATCCAAACAACGAACTTCCAAACCTTATTAGGAGAACCAGAGAGAACAAATTAAGTATTACACATGGTATAATTTGAAAATGACTGGGACTTTGAGAACATGGTTGCATTTACGACAAAAATGAGATTTGTTATGCGATGAAGGAAAAATCGTTGCACGAACCTAATGTTTTGTTCAAACCAAAGCAAAGATTTTATTTGGCAAACCATGCATTTTTCTTTTGCCTTTATCTCCAGTGAAAGAATATCCTTTTCCCTCATTTCTCTTTAGCAAGCTTGACTTCTTCCTTCATTCACTCTTATTTTCGAGTAGCGCTAATTGACTTTTTTTTAACATTCAGGATTTCATGACTATTATTATTACACCTCCATATTATCTAAAATCAGTACAATTTCTAGCATAATTTTTACAAAGAAGCTGTACAATATGGAGGTATAGTAATAAAATTTTAATTCTACTTTTAACTTTCACATAAATCTGCACAAGATTACCTAGGACGTTTCCCTAAGAATTGCAAGAGCTAAGAAGAAATATTTAAAAGGAACAGTCAAGTAATGGAACCTATGAGTATTTGGTGGACGACATATTTTGGAAAATTGTTATAGTGAAGAGTAAAACGGAATGGCAGGCAGATATTGTCTGCACATGACATATTTTCCTTAAAAAAAAGATGAAAAAGCCATTTCGAAAGAAGTAAATTCTGAAGTGGAACAACATGACAGTCGAAGAAAACATATAACAATAAATAAAGTAAACAACAAATGATACTTTTAAAAAGTGAAAGAAATGGTAAGCTGAATAGTCCGTAATACAATGACAGATATAAAAGTAAGATAACAAAATTATCGTTGAGTATGACATTATTTAGCATCAAGCTAAACTGCATGATTTCTTAATCTAATATTAGGATACTACGACAATCCCAATGAAAAGTAAATTACACAAGACTCATCATATTCAAATGTCGAAGGCAAGCTTTTCTACTTCTCAGAAACGATTTGTTCTCATACACAAATCCAAAACAAATTTGTATGCAGATAAAATTGGATACTTTAGAAACGTATTCATGTGGTCATATTCGAATTTTAAAAGACCACAACTTTATCTAAAACCATTAGTTTAATTGCTTATAACGTATGTACAAAGTTTAGACCTCCATCGGAGCTATCCATCAGAAGACTGCGGTTCGGCTACTGATCAATTTGTTTAGCCGGTAGAAGAAACTAGCATAAATGGCAACTAATGACAAACAAAATGCACAACAATGCCATAAAAATTATTAGGACTATTCCCTGCCTGTCATAAAGTAAAGCCCTTGAAAATCATGCTCTGAAATTACCTTGGCAAGAACGCAAAGGTTCTGAAATCTAGGATTGTATGAAGACAGCAGCTTCGATTAGGGACAATAGTCCTAAAATCGAAAGAGTGTTTAACAGAAATTATTCAGGGAAAAAATGAATAAACAAACTAGCAGCATCCCTCTGGATATAAATAGGATTGTTTTAATGAGCACTTGTAGAATTATTGAATGGACAAACATAAGTTGCTGGAAACATGCCCGATTTTCCGTTTAACGTACCTTCCCACCAATTTTCATCTTCCCGATTTGTTACTGAAACAGTGTTTCAGTTTTCTTTAAAAGCTCGCAATTTCTTTTCTTTTTTTTTTTAATTTTAGCCAAACGTGTTTTGAATTCCAAAAACTAAGCAAAGGACATAATGTTTTAATCTAAAATAATATTAAAATGTACTATTTACCAGTAATAATATCTCCTCGCTTGAAACCCAGTTCACCCTCTTCCTGTGGCTTAAAATCAAACATGGCCTGCACCAAATGAGTACCTTGAGCTGCCACGCTATCCATATTTTGAAGCAAAATTGTATGCGAACGAGAAACGGATGCCGATCTGAAATACATGTCCGCAGTTTGTTTCCTTGTAATTCCAGTACCTGACAGTCGTCCTTTCCAAGGCTTGGTTATTTGGCTCGCCAGGGAAAGTCCATTAAATTATAATTATAGGACAATAAGCTGGAAAAAATATTTTTAAAACACAAGCAAGTGAAGAAGTACGGAACAGATATGAGTTAATGATAATGTGATATAAAGCAAGAAATTATGGAGTAGATACAGCGGCCACTTTATTAATACCCAAACGGTTAATGTTAATAAACTGCACGCTCACCGATGATAATTTATTAATTCGTTAATGGAATTGAATTTCACCACCCAAAGGTAATATTTGCCATTATTGTCGCGTAGCACTTTAAAATGTTGCACCGAATCTTGAAACCTATAAAATATAAAATTAAAGGCTCCAGGTGAAACTAAATGAATCATAAAAGTAATTAGTTCTTTTTCGATCATCCTGGTTACTCTAAAACATCTCAGTAGGTTATGCTAAATGAATGGATATCGAAAAATTTTTCAGTTGCAAATATAAAGCTGGCAGAAAAAAAACGCATCCGTTTTTCTGAACATTACCTGATTAGTAATGGATAGTCTATAGCGGTATGTATGGCGCTATTCTGGAAAAATAAGAAAAAATCATGGGATGTACTGGATATCTGCGACTCTTTTCCCCCATATTATTCTAATATTCGTGTGCAAGAACATAGGACAAATATAAAACAGGCTAAGGCTGGTAATCGGTCTCAATAAGCTCGTTCATAAATGTTTCCCCAACAACTAAACAACGTCATCAATATATATCATAATGCCAGTCGTTGTTGACTTCAACTAGATAAGCTTCAACATTTCGTTGCATTTCCAAACGATCACCCCAACCAACATTAACCCTGAGGCATGGTCTATAACCTTTGTTTAATAACCCTTCATTAATTTAAATATTTTAATCTTTGTCAACGCAGAAAAAGCAAAGAAATGGTAAGTGGGCCACCAACCTCACAGAAATGCTAAAATCGCCAGGAGAGCTCTCGGACTGTCGCACAAGAAATGCACCATCACTATTTCCTGATCGTAACAACAATGCTTCTGCATCTGCACGACTAATTTTCCCAAGATACCCAAAAAAAAAGGAATAATGTGTGATAACATGTATTCCAAATACGACTACGATCACGAGGTATCAAAATTCTTGCTTTTCCAAGTATTCATAATCTTATTTTTGCATACATAAATGTCATGAGCATAGTTCCAAACGTGATTGAACAACTTGAAACTAAGAATTTCAAGCTATTATGTTCATGTTCATTAAACAGTGTCATCCTATACAATAACAGCGGTAAATTGAGAAAAAAGAGTCGCAAACTAAGTGATCGAAGAAAAACAAACCAATCATGTTCATTCATTCTGATATAATTGCTGGGGATAAAACCTTCATGTCCATCCAACTCTGCTTTGTACCAATGTGGATCTTCATCTTTATTTAAAACCTGAAATGTTTATAAGCGATTTAAATACAGGTCAAAAACTGAATAAAGCAAAAACTTCAAGTCTTGAACAAATTCATGCTTACTTGAGTCTTTCTTGATTCTCTTCAATACGGGAAAGTATACGAGTGAGATCATGAATAACTACTAGTGACTACATCATTTGCGATCTACCTAGGACTATCTGTAGTTGCACGACAAATCAATGTAGCGTGTTAAGGAAACCAATGAAAACCCAGCCTCTGTTAGCCTCGTTAAAAAAGTTGCAAGATAGAGTTGCTTCCAATTTATTTGTTTAATATGTATCATAGAAACAAAAGTCTGCGTCTGCGTGGTCCAACAAGCGGCTGCATGTCTTACTGATGCTTTTGTCAGTATATTCCCACTGTTAGTCCAAGTCAGCTGAGTTGCCCAAAACTGATGTCGACTTTTTGGTAAGGTTGCACTCACAAGTTTGAGTCACGGTGTGGGTTCGACAGACTTTTACCTGAACATGTCTCTCTTGAAAACGACGGAAATTTTTGCAGCCAATTCATATTAAAAAGCCTGAATTAGCTAACCTTTAAAATCTGATTCTTTCGGAAACTAAGTTCATCCTCAGCTGTAGCGTTGAAATCGTGCTCCGCTATCGCCTCCATCACGCTTTATCTAGAAGCATCAATCAGTTAACAATACAGAAATTTTCATCTAATGAAAATCGCTATTTCTGCACTTTAACTGACGTTTTGTAATTTTTCCAGGTACTACGTCGTGCATGCATATTTACTGGGCGGATCTAAAATAATAAAACCAGGTCCTTAAAAGGAGATGTGCCTAACGGTAGCTTTGGAAACTGGATTTCTAGGAAAATCCGAACAAATGACAACGCTCCGAAAGTTAGCCAACATCTATTCCATAAGTATAATTTAAAACATGAAGAAAAAACACAGAAACTATAAGTTACATCAGCGTAGTAAGTTAGTGGTACAAACAACAGCACCGGGAGACAAGGAATACAAGGAGATAAGGTCGATGACCTTGAAGCGACCATGGTGGGAACAAGATGACTTTGTCCAAAGTACTCTTCCATTCATTTGATGCCATTTAATCATCCGTATTCCATGATTAAATGAAATAATGAAAACGTGAGGTATAGTTAGCAAATAAGATTTCCGTACCCCAGATAATATTTAAAACGAATTCGAGAAAAGTAGGAGATGGTTCGTTTTCGGTAACCGTCTCAGATCACAGAGATCTTTTAGGATTTCTGTAGTAACGTTTTCAATAGGAAGCACCAAAAGGTAAATTGCATCTCTTGCATATCTCATCTCACTAACTCAACCCATCTAAAACAACTCCGGCAAAACAAAGTACACAACAAAACCAAGCAGAAACCATTGAAGCAAACCGAATTTCAACGTGATACACAAGAGCATTGGCCTGCAAACACCACCACGGCTCACCGTTTCATCTGGAAGTCGTTGGTTCCGGTATAGATGAGTAACCGGTTGCGCTATCTGTTTTAGTAATAGGTGCAGAGTGTCATGGAAATATGGGTAATTGAAAGTGGTATGCAGAGGAAGCAGCCCTGCAGAAAAGAAGAAAAACCGTCCTGTCCTTTTTCTGTTCACTTCAAAGTGTTTTCGAAACACTCGCCACGGGAACATAATGTCAACTGATAGAACCTTTTTGAAAATACCGGTGTGATGTACACAAACTATATTCCAAATTATACTTATGCGATACACATATTAACACACAAATGCTTATAAATTCATAAAATGTTGTAGTACAAACTGCATGAACAAGCCATTTAACTTGGCCCGGACAAAAAAAAAAGACGAAAGCTTGTGTTGACAGCCGATTCTGGATCCTCAGAAGATTAGAAAGAGATGAATTCTGGTCGCAAGGATTCAAATATTGACCCGATGAATGACTTCTGCACCCATCCTTCCTCCTGCCACATCGATATATAATGGAAAAGGAATTTAGTTTGTGGGAATGGGATAATAAATTATCAGCTATGGCAGAAAATAATTCACGTCAAGACTGAAGTTTTAGAAGGTTCCTTATTCCCAATTTTCTAATTTTGTTTGTCTGAAATGCCAATCTTCCAGACAAATACGTGTCAAATGTTGATATTCTGAAATTTGGTGTTTTAAGATTATAAACCTATTTTGATGGATGGGAATACTTGAGAAAATTTGGAAATAGTGGAAACTGGACAGATTGTCATTCTGAGTACATCATGATTAATTAACTATATGAAGAAGGATCGCAGTTTCAGAAACAATTCTGTTGGCTTGCTCGCTGCATTATTAGTGGATGCAGTCATGGCTTTCATCAGGCATTATGGCTTCCAGGTTCCACGTACCAATATCGAGGACCTTCTGCGGTACTTTACGATTCGTAATGTAGTGGTTCGGCAATTCGAACTTCCAGCGTCGTTGGCATGGCTTCAAATATATATATATGTATGAGTTAAAATCGGCGGTTGGGATTAAGAAAGTATAATAACTTGCTTGATGCAACCGCAGTATTAGGATAGCATAAGCACTTTGTGCAAATCTTTCTGGTAGATAATTATCTTTAGTATATCCAGGGATTTTTTTGGACCGTCTTTCATCTATCTATCAGTATATTCAGCAAACGAACTGTGTAACTTTATATGATATCAATCAGTATTGTTCAAAAATAAGTGGAAACTAAATGAAAGACGAAGTGAATAAACATGTTCCTGTGAAAGCGATAAGTCTAATAACTAATTACCTAGGAATTAGAACTAATGTGCAATAGTTAAAGAAATAAGCACACGTACAGTAACGCCATCGTTGCAATCGTGGTAGATCTTTAGATGGGGATCAATAGTTGTCATTTCATGTGTATCGCCGGACAATTGGAAATAACCGTTTTCGTCGGTATAACCTGCATCCAATTCGTCGTCTGGATCCGATCCTGAAGTCATCCTCTTATTTTCCAAAATGGGTCGATATCATAGCATTATCTAAAATTAACAGAGGGAGTGAAATCCGAGTAGAATCTAGTGCTGGGTCCGATCCTGAAGTTATCCTCAAATCACCTCCACCTTCTATTCCGATTTCACTCTTCTGTTAGTGCGTTATCATCTGATCCAGAAATTCTACCTCACTTGGTAGAGTAACATTGGATATCTTTCATCATCCACAGGTTTTGACAAATATGTAACAGAAACTATAGTACTATCCCCACAATGACCAACTTACCGAAATCATCATCGACCAATTTAACTCGCACGCCTGGAGCTGGCTGAGTACCACAAAACAACCTCCCAGTTACCTGCAATTAAAACATGAAATTCAGTGGTTGTTCTCCGAAGGCAGTGCTAAATATGGAAGTAAGCGTTAATTTTTTGCTATCGTGTGAAGTTCTAAAAATGATACGCTGTAGCTTTGAATGCCGGTATGCTGTTGTGGAATAATTGCACTGTGCGACACGCACACCAGCAGTGCGACAACTGCGCCCAATACACCGCGATACATGGTCATTCAATACACCTTTAACGGAAAGTGAAAATATCACATAGTGGTAAATTTTTGATTTTTGCATCTTGGAACTTCGATTGTAGGTAGGATATATTACTGATCTATATACATACTCGCTTAGATGGTTATGAAGATTTGAAGGTGACATAATTAAATATAACTATTCGGCGTTTCAAACCGTACAGCACTGTTATCCATCATCAATTTTTTGATTTCGAAATATTTCGGATAAAATCTAAGCTATAGCCGAACGAAAAGAGTAGTGCGTCTATTTGATAATTACTGATTTCGACCGATTATTTCCTTGTGTTAAGTAAGTAAATTTTGAACCTTGTCTAAAAACCTAAAGTTACTAATGTTTGACCTTACTTAAAAAATTTATTTCCGAATTGGTAAACTTAAAATTCCGAGTCTGATACCATCCTAAATGTTTTGGAAATTATCCATCCGGAAAACAATGTTCGAAAAAAAATTTATTCGTTTATACGGAAAAACTCATTATTTAGGTATAGAAGTGGTAAAAGTTAATCTATGATTGAGAAGGGAAGATAATCCCGTTAGAAATAACTTGAACTGTGTTACACAATGTCCTTTATCAAATGTATTTTGCAAGAAAAGAGAGCTGTAAAGCCGTTGATCTAATTTTTGTACTTTCCCGAGTGACTTCTAAATAGATTCACTATTAATTTTAGTGACACTATCTCGGGATAGCATTTACAAAAGGATGAGGCGGAAAATTATTTCAAAACCAACAAAAATTAAAGTGCAAATTGAGAATTATATCAATAATTTGCTGAATGCGGAAGACTGAAATGCATGTCAAGGCAGGGGAAATCTGTTTGTCGGGGCAACCGGTGTATCCCCTAAATATAATTAAAACATATTCAACAACAGGAATAAGAGTTACAGTCCATTCTATTTGTGCAATAAAAAAAATAAAGTTGGCATGAAATGAAGTTCCAGATAAGCAGCATTCAGATTACAATTGGGCATTAATCGTTGAACTCTATCTAAGCACGCGCTATCTTCAGTGTACTCTTTTTAACAGTGTAACTAGGCCTCCGTTTCACTTTTCTTTCGTAACAGAGAAAATTAGTTAAACCAAAATTTCCATTCACTAATACAAAGGTGTCTACTGTCTAGTGCAGATACTTGCTGCTCTCATTAGTCATCGTTTGTGTATACTGCTTATCAGTTCCCTTTTGATAATGAATGAATTTCAAGAAACACATTGACATTAGTGATGTATACATTCCTGGTCTTCATCTTCCAGCTCCACTTCAAGATTCATTTCTCCGAGTTCCATTGTCTTCCGAGCTACTGCTCCGTTTGATACATAACGATCCGGAATGCGGATAATCCATTCCCTTTGGCATGGCTGAAAGTGAAATATAACTCCGCTGTACTTTGATTAATGTACATCTACACTGATCTGCTTACTATATTATCATCAGTTAACGATTTAGAAAGAGCTCATGGCTTAGAGTTGAACTGTTCAATGCCCATAACCCGCAGTCCAATGTGTCCCCTCATGAACGGTGGCACTTAGCCCTAGTTTTTCGGCATATATACATACATACGTACACCACACATCGTGTATCCTCGGTTTCTTCGTTC